CCCACCGCTGGCCCAACGGCTGGTCCCACGAAGCGTCGACGCTGACCGAGCGCGCGTTCCTTCAGTTGCTCCGCGACCGCGCAACGCTCATCGCGGCCCTGGTGCGCACCGTCGCGCTCGTGGTGCTGATCGGCTTCAGCTACTTCCGCCTCGCGCGCGACCAGCGCGGCATCAACAACCGCGCGGGCATCCTCTTCTTCTGGCCCATCAACGTCGTGCTCATGAACCTGCTGCCCATCGTCAATCTCTTCCCCACCGAACGCGCCATCCTCCGCCGCGAGCGCTTCGCAGGCGCGTACAGGACCTCGGCGTTCTTTGTGTCCCGCCTCGCCGCCGAGGTCGCGAATTCGACCGTGTGGACGCTGCTGAGCTCGGCGCCGCTGTACTTTATGCTGGGGCTGAGGACCGACGACGGCGTGGGCCACTTTTTCGTGTGGATGCTGGTGCAGTGGGCGATCGCCATGGCTGCGCTGGCGTACGGAATCGTGGTTGCGGTCCTCGTGCCGAGCCTGCAGGTGTCGCAGGTCATTGCGCCGTTGGTTGCGCTGACATTTATGATCTTTGGCGGCGGCGTCGTCAGCACTTCCGACATCAAGTACCCGTTCAAAGTCATCCAGTGGATCTCTCCCATCAACTGTGAGCATTGCACTGACTTCTTCAACTCTGATTTTCAAGTTCCGGACTGACGCAATCCCTCCATTAGTTGCTTACCGCGCCAACATGATCAACGAGTTCGAGGGCCTTCCCATTGACTGTGGGTCATCCGCCGCGTGCTACTCGTCTGGGGACCAGGTCCTGACATTTTTTGGACTTGACGACATTTCCAAGTGGGCCAACATTGGGGCGATCCTGGCTCTCGCGGTGGGGTGGATGGTGGTCGGTTACGTTCTTCTCAGGGTTGTGGGTCGTCCAAAATCTATCTTTATCTGAAAGAACGGCCCACGTTCTGGCGTCGGCCTTTGCTCATCTTATCACCAGCATTGGTCCTTTATTTTTGCTTTAATAGATGAACTCATAACATGAGCATCGTGCAGTGCGTCAGTTGCACCTATCTGGGTTTCTCGCATTGGTTCCTATGGGCAATTGAATCATGTTTGCACTGGACAATCTGCCAATATTCATTTGGTCGCGCCGGCCCGCTGATCAAAAGTTTACATGGAAAAGAGCCGCAAGGAGGACTGGTCAATTAGACGTGGCCCTGACCGGCGCTGAAGTGATCGGGCAACCAGCGATTACCGAACACCAGCCCAATCCGTCCATTCAAAGCCGGCAGAACATACCAGAAACAAATGGATTGGGAAAATCGTTTAATTGAATGCCTGGGTCTGAAATAATTCTGCAGTTAGTAAGAAGGGGCTTGAATGTGCTTTGTTGTGGCGTTTGCAGCCAATGAGGGTCGCGAGGGATCAACAACGTCTCTCGCTGCATTAATTAGCCATTCGAAGAGAACGGCACCCAAGTGGCTCGTGTAAACAGTCTACTCTGAGTGAGTGAGTGGAAGGGATGAAGAAGTGGAGATGTGTGTTTGTGGGTGGTCCTTCTCTACCAAGTTGGAGAGAAAGAGAAAAACTCTGTTATGAATAATTGATACATAATGATGATATGCAAGCCGTAATAGTTGCTTGGCAAGTGTGACTGGCACAGGGTAAACCCCTCTCCTATATTATCTGCTTGAGCAGAGGAGGAGGAAAACCGTTAATACCAGGTTTCTGTTCCACTTAATACTCGGAGTATTTGTCAACAGTGCAAGCCAGTGCCGAGGTCTGCATTGGCTGTGGTTCGCTCTCCCATGGGCATCGTGAGAATGATAACTGACAGTCACAATAGGCTTGGGTCTGTCGTGTGCCTCTTGCTGCAAACCAGTCAGTTCCACCTGACAAGTGCCTTCCAGTTTGGAAGTCAATGAAGCGCTTTCAGCCTCGACGGTGAGCGGACAAGTGTTTGCGGCTGCTTGACGGTGGCGATCGTGATTTATTCAACATTAATAATTGCGGCTGAAACAGACAGCCCGAGGGACGATCTTTGAGAGCAACAGAGACTGAGAGTGAGACAGGCTGCCCAGTCTCGCTAATTCCACTTAGGAAATAGATTTTCCGGCAAACGCTTGTTTTTCCGTGTAGTTTTTGGTCATTCAAAACGGAATGCCAAACTTTTTGTGTTTTATAGTTGTTTTTTTTTTTTTTGTTTTTTCTGCTTACCGTTAGAAGCGCCATTGGAGTGTTTGCGTTTGCATTGCGGACGGAGCGGACGAGAATGGAGACAAGGGAGAGACGGGCAGAGAGAGAGAGAGAGAGAGAGAGAGAGAGAGAGAGAGAGAGAGAGAGAGAGAGAGAGAGAGAGAGAGAGAGAAACGGGCCAAGCCCTCTAAATTGAGCGCCTTCTATTTCGTCGCTGCTGAATAATGCTGCAGCATTCAAACCAACGGAAAACTTTGAGAAAAGACAGATAGCATTGTGGCGAGGAAAAAACAGTAAAAATTTTCTTAAAAATTCGAGCAACCAAAAAAATTTTTAGTCTGACCCCGAACTGGTAGCCACCGCACGGAAGCGGAAGAGACCGCCTTGTGTGTGTGTGTTGGAAAAAAAAGTATTGCTGCAATGGCCAACATTCGTTGTCAGAAGCAGCAAGACACACTTTTTTTACATACAAAATGATAAAAAGCGTGTGGTGAAAGAGAAAAATAATTAGAATAAAACCGGAAAATAGGAGGAGGCCGATCGCCACAGAGCGAAGACAACATCTTTCTTGTTTTTATTTTTTCTCCCGCCGTTTCAATGACGAAATGAGAGTGGTGAGTGAATGGGCAATAAATAAAATTGAAAAAGTTTTTGGGGACAGCCTTTTCACTGACGTTGGTCGCGCACGCGATGACCGTTCCATCCATAGCTCGGCGACGTATTTTTCTTCTTCGCTACAGCAACAACACCATTCAGAGAGAAACATGCCTGGTAGTGGTAGTAGTGTCCAACTCGTTGCCTCCGGGGCCGGCGCCGTTGCCTTCTGTGCTCTCCTTGTGGAGGTGGGCATTATGATCTACAACACGGCCTTTCATCCCTTGAAAAAGGTTCCCGGGCCTTGGTTCGCCGCCGCGAGTCCCCTCTGGATTGCGTGGCAGCGCTGGAACGGCAAGCTCTCTCTCACGGCCGACGCCTTGCTCTCAAAGTACGGCCCAGTTGTTCGCATTAGCCCTACCATGGTCCTGGTGAACGACGGGCCGACGGTGAGCAGAATATTCTCCCGCCGGGACCTCGACACAGCCCCAAAGGCAGTCCGCGCGCTCCGTGTCGGCGCGCACGACTGGACCGTTACCTACCCGCAGAACCACATTGCCCGCGAGCGCCGCCACCCGGTCATGATTGCAACCACGACAAAAAACCTCAAGTACTGGCGCCCCACTTTTGAGAAAAACATCGGCACCATGATCCACGACATTGCACACACCGCCGGCACCAGGGCCGAAGACATTGTTCACCACCTCCGTGTGTGCACCCTCCGCAATGCTCAGGTCGTCATGGGCGGGTCCGGCGTCGACTTGGACCCCAAGTCGTTCCCGGCCGTCGTGGGCGAGTACAACTTTCTGGTGATTTGGCGCCTTTGCATGCCAGAGTGGTTGTTCACCTGGCTCGAGTTTGGCCCGTTCCGTCGCTCCCGTTTCCGCGTCCAGTCCAGCGACCTTCTTTTTGACCTCGGCGCCAAGCTCTGCCAGCAGGCCAAGGCAACCAGCGACAGCGTCGTCGACGAAGCACCCAACGTATACCAAATGTTCACGGACAAGAATCCCAAAACCCAAAAGGTACTCTGTCCTTACGCCCACCTCACTGTTTCTAACTAGTATTTTTTGTCTGAAAAAAGGGCCCTGCGGTCCCGGACTGGACCGACAACGAACTCAGCGCCGAAATGGCGGGGCAAATCCTCGCCGCGACCGAAACCACATCCTCGGCGCTGACCTTTATCCTCTATGAGCTCACCAAAAACCAAGACCTCCTCTCCCGCCTCTACGACGAGCTGCAGACCTCCCCAGGCACCGACGCCCTCGACTCCCTTCCCTTCCTCGACGCCTGCATCCGCGAAGGCCTCCGCTTCCGGCCCCCCGTCGCACTCACAGGGAGCCGCCTCTCCCCGCCCGGCGGCCTCGACGTCCTCGGCTACCACATCCCCGCCGGCAACGTCATCACCACACAGTCGCTCTCCATGAGCCGCCAGCGCCCCGACCTCTTCCCCAACGCCGAGGAGTTCGACCCGACCCGCTGGCTGCCGGCCACCAACGGCGAGGACGCCGACGCGCTCTTGGCCGCCCGCCGCGCGCTTCTGGTCCCGTTCGGCGTCGGCGCCCGCCGCTGTCCCGGCGGGAACATGGCCGTCGACCAAATGCGCCTGCTGCTCGCGGCCCTGGTGCGCACGTTTGAGATTTCGCTGGCGCCGCAGACGACGCCAGAGGTCATGGCGCCGTTCGAGGCCAACGGGTACCGGTCGAGGAACGATGCGTGCTATTTAATGTTTACGCCGCGCGTGATGGGCGGCGTGCGCTGCGCCAATGGGAAGGCGAGGATGGTGGAGGAGAGCGACCAGCTGTACAGCCTGTGAGGGGGGGTCGGCGTGGTTACTTACTTTGTGCACTTAATCTCTTTCTTCTCTTTTCTTCCTTTTCTTTCCCGCTTCCTTTTGTTGCTTCTCCTCACCAGTGGGTCTCATTGCCCGTTTCACTAGATGACGTTGGAATGTCCTGTCCTCCTCTTCTGGCTTCGCTGTCATCCGCAAAATGTTTTCGTCTTGCATCTCTTCACGTTCCGCTTCAATTTCCCAGCATCGCCTCATTTATAATTACAACACCACTCATCTCAATAAGTTTCCATAAATGCCCCTTGCAAATGCCGCTTGCGATTGTTTTGAGCGACCAAACGCAGAATAATTGGTGGGTTTTAAACGCAGCCTGTCAGGAAACCAGCAAATCACAAAAAATTTAAATGTGGTAGATCTATAATTTGCTCTTTCAGTCGGAAGCTCTGTTAACTCAGTTGGTTAGAGTGTAGTGCTAATAACGCTAAAGTCACAGGTTCGATCCCTGTACAGAGCAAGTATTGTCCCCAGGTTTCACCGTCATTGCCCATTTAACCACTCAGAAGTTTCCCAGGTTACACCCATTTGCGGTGATCCCACCAATATCGTTGTTTTAGTTGTTGTCTTTTTCTTTCTTCGTTCATAATGCGAGGAGTTTGAGCCCTCACCAAGTTTCCTTTTCGGCGGTTTTGGACGAGACCGTGTGTGCCCAGCACTGCAGAGAAGCCCGCTAAAAGGCTGGAATGAAGCAACAATGCACGTTGTTTGTGTTTACTCTGCTTTTCCAAAACAGGCCCAGAGAAGTGGGTGTGGGGGAGCTTGTGACTGCATAGAGCTTTCACGCGACCTTCTCGCCTCGGCCGCCGATGCGCGGGTCGAGACGCACTGCAAATATACTGAAGAAACAGCGAAAAAATACCAAACTTTGCAAACGTACATGATTTGCCCTCAGATACTAAGTATTTTTTCCCCCGGCCCACCAATGCGCCCAAAGGGAGAGCTCGCCTTTTCTCGCAAATGTCGTCGCGGAATCTATTTTTTTTCTGTTTGTGGAGCTGCCCTTTTACACCGTAACTTCAACATTGAATATTGCCAGCCGAATCTGACTGATTATTACGTTGGACCAAAACGGACAAGAGAAAGGGGAAAGTTATCTGGCAGAAGTAAATTTTCCGCGAAACTGTTTTACTCGAGAGCACGTTGTTGGATCTCCTTTGCTCCATCCCGCCACGGCCCGTTCTGATTTAGATTTCCCTCTCCAGCAGGAACCGAACAACAAAAAGAGAAGGGCGAGGAACAAAAACAACAACAACAGCAACACACGCAAACGTTCGTCCAGCGTATGAACAGCATGGACCGAACGGTCCAGTGGATAAAGAAGGGAGGCACGCGAGGACTTTTCCCCATCCGTTGGGCGTCAAATTACGTCGCCGCGCGGACCCCTTTCTCACCCTTAAAAGAAACGTCGGGGCACGGGGGGCGGGCGACGGAATGGCTTGAGCGCCAAACGAACGAGGAAGAAGTGGATCCGGGCAGATTGAACGACACGCCCCTCTTGCAATAAATACAGCCACGAGGCCTTCCGTCTACGTGATGGGGAAACAGAAAAGATGGGCGAATCCACATGGACGCACAGGTTTATAAGCCCTTTCTTGAGTTTGGCCAATACAGCAAAGCTGTGCTACCTCGTCCGCCCTTATGTCCAGTGGCGAATGAAGGAGCCCCACCACAGGGCATGGTCTCTGTCTTTGAAATAGAGACAATCTGGGTCTCCCCGAAAAAGGCGGACGAAAACCGCATCCGCATGCTGACATCAGCTGCGCATTTGCTTCAGTGGGGTGCCACAACATTTTCTGCAACGGAGGGGGAGATACCCTATCGCGTGGCAGTCGATATAGCAGGTACTTGCCAAATGAACTTTATGAGGAGCACAAGGTCTCCCTGACGCTTCCGGGGGAGATGATGACAGTTTTCAAGTTTGGCATTTTGCTGACTGTGGAGAGTCTGTTGGAATGACTATCGAAACGACACGGCCAAACATCTGGTGTCACAAGTTCACAATCTGCAAGCTGCAGTAGCCTCGCTGGAGTGTTATGATTTCCTTCGATCCAAACTGGAGGATCAGAGGAATAAGGTTTGTTCTCATTGTCTCCAAAAAAACAAAAAAAGCGTAGAGCTTGTTCTGATCCCTCCCCTCAGAGCACACCGGTACTACTAGCGGAAGCCGTCGTTAAAAGCGAAGTGACAATAGCCCTTGAGAAGGCAAAAAGGTATGGGGGTACGATCAACGATCGTCTTCGCTTCTCCATGGAGCAGGAGAATTATGACTTTCAGCGGAAGCTGAAAGTCTACATGCAACGAGAACATCAACACACAGTTTTTCGATCCACTAAATAATATTTCCTGCAACCAAAAACCAAAAACCTAAAAAAAAAAAACCAAAGCCAGAACCAAAGCCAGAAAGTGAGCTACCCAGTTTACTTGCCATGATATTGCGCAATCACCCGTTTGCGCATACAACCGACGATTTAGTGGCCCTTACTACTGCGTTGTCGGGCATCGTGTTGTTTAGAGGGGGTGAAGCGGAGCATAGTGACACCATTGGCGCAGAATCTATGAATGCGTCCTTCCACTCAGAACCCATCCCTTATCCTGCTCACTTTTCTTTGTGTTCCTTTTTGCTCTAAGAGCAACTATAATATCACCTGTAAGCCAACGGAGGGCTCTGTTTCCTGGAGCCACTATTCACCTCGATGAATTTTCCATTTTCGGGGACGAAACAATGCGAGCCATAGAGATGACGGAACTCCCTGGCGGGGCTTATGTGTATCATCGCACGGTGGGTCAACTGTGCACGATCAAATCAACAACGATGCGAATCGTCCAGATCGGCCATATTGACCCCGAGCCGAATCTTACTCGGCTGTCGCGAGGGGTATGTCCGAACCACTAATGCCTCCACCCACCTGGCCACCAATCTCTACATTGTTCTTCGGGCCTAAAGTTAAGGTAATTGCTTCATAACGGGAATGTGTGGGTTGTTCGGAGCGCTCGCTGTGCGTGTTTGTGTTTTGGTCTGTAGATTGGTTTGTTTGTTTTTTTCCCTAAGTGTCGGCAAAGAAGCCTCCCATAGGCTCCAGCAAAAGAGGCGAAAAAGCAAGAGTGATAGAGTGAAAGAGCAAGCAAATTGTGAATAAAAGAGGTTTTCACGCGCTGTGTTCTGGTCCCTGCAGAGATCATCGCTGCTGCTGTGCAAGAAAAGAGGTGGGGGCTACGGGCCGGAGGCACCAGAATGGACTAACAAACAGTTGGACCGTGCGAAGGGGGACAGAATGGGAAAGATTGGTCTCCTCTCTGTTCACGACGAGCTCAGCTGTTTCAGCTGAATGCCGTCCGTGCCGACGATCTTGACTCCCATGCGTTGTGCGAGCTGGCGCTGGCGCAGGAACAGGACGGCGCCGAGCGCCGCGACGACCGCGAGTGCGAGGACGATAAGCGCGATGAAGCCGGGCGAGAGGGTTGTAGTGATTGTAGTTTCGAAAGCTGTGTGTTTGGGGTGTGAGTCGAGCCGCTGCTTGGACGCGTTCCACAGATCTGCACACACGCAGGCAAGAACAAATGTCACTCAACTAGTGTACGCCTTTATCTCGTCGACAATCGCGTAGCAAAGCGACTGGTTCCCAGCCGTCAGGCCTTTGAAGTCGAACCGGACGTGTGTGGCGACGACGGGGCCGTCGAAAGCGTACTCGGTAAACTCTTCGCCGTCGGTCGAAAGGGTCGGTCCGTCGGTGGCGGCGGTACCGGTGGTATCGGCGTCGCCATTGAAGAGGGTGACAGTCGTCGTGTTCGCTGCGTCGGGGTTTTGTTTGTATGTATGTTTGTTATTTACAAGGAAGAGACGACCATATTGTGACAAGAAACCAACAACCCACGCGTAATCGGTCCAAAGTGAATCGCGACGGCCGAGATGGGCACGGAGCCCTCCTGCGCCCTCGTCCAGTTCACAACCAAGTACTCTGTCAGCGCGTTGCTGCCTCCGGCGCCGCCGGCACCACAGCTTCGTGGCAGGCTGACCCACATAGTGTGGCCGCTCGGATCGACCTCGACGTCGACGACTTTGGCGGGGCTGCAGTTGTCGCCGGCGCAGTAGCTGGTCGGGGAGTTGGCGAAGGGGCAGCTTGCGGCGGCGGTGCAGGTCGACGAGGCCGAGACGTCCGAGCCGCCGGCGATGTTGACCATGTTCTTCGCGGCGCGGGCGGCGGCGGCAGTGGAACAGAGCAGTGTTGCGGCGAGGACGACAGCCAGGGTCCCGAGGGGGCCGGCGCGGCGGCGGCAGGGGTGGCGGCTTCGGCGCTGCAAAGCAGCTGCGGACGAGGGCGGGGCCGCAGCGGCCTCCTCCTGCGACATCATGTGTGTTGCCGATTTCTTTCAAAAAAGCGGTCCATCGATGACCCAAGCGCAGTGGCTGTTTGTCTGCGTGCGTTCTGACGCCTGCCTTGTTTCGGAATTGCGTGCACCGAAGAACGTTCGAAAGAGGAACGAAGAAGCCGGAAGATGAAGCAAACGCCGGACTCCCGGGCAGCAAGCTGCCAACGAAAGCAGTTAAAGGGAGGGGGAAAAACGAGCGGACGAGGGTCTCGGGAGGCGAGCCGCTGCCGCAGTCCAGGTTGACGCCTCGCCAACGGTTGCGCTTCGCATAAGATGCCACAGAAACCCGGCACACGATGATGATGATACCTTGATGGTTCGTTTTGCTCTCAATTTATCTCTTTTTGATTCTTGAAGTATAGAATGAAGTCACGAACCAAAATGTGAACGCACAGCAAAATCCAAAACACAGCGTTGTCGTTCTCGCTGTTTGTGCGCAAGTGAAGCTTGATTTTCAGCGTAAGTTCAATCCCGCCGGTTGGTTGGAAATGGTCATTTATTGACGATTTCACGTTGTGTTAATATTCATCCAGCCATATCAACAAGGACAAGAAATCGCCCATTGCAAGCGCTTTGCGCTGCAGCCAAGCAAGGCCCTCCGAGATCAAAGATGCCGTCGTAACGTCAAGCAGCACGGAGGGCCCAAAGAAAAATAGCGCGAATCCTTTGATCCAGCTAAAATGCGAAAAAAACTCTTTAATGTTCGAACACTCCGGGAATGGCGCTTGTTTTGTCCCAGTGCCAGATCAGGCCCTGCCGCTGTTGCAAAGTCTCAGCGGAGCGGCAGTTGTCGACAGTCGCAAGTCACCGTGATGTAGTAGTTGAAAAGGTTACAAATCTTTGGCCACAGCTGGCTTCTTAATTTTCGACCCAGTTGGAGGCGCAGAGAACGGTAAGCAACTTTAGCGATGCAGGTTTCTTGTTGGGTGGCAGAAAGGGGAACAAATTGCCTTGTGGCAAGTCAAACTGATGGATCTGCCTTTGTTTTCTCGCCTCCCCATACACGCGGCCACACCGCAGTTTGGGCCAAGGTGCCGCGCCTTCTGGCTTTGGAAGAAGATTCAGCACATCAGCAAGGGGATATCCACT